AACATAGGCAAAACACATTAGGGTTTTTTTATTATTATTATTATTATTATTATTAGTGTAAATGCAGCTGGATAATTTAGATCTGGGTTTGGATTAGGATCTTGGCCAGTGTCTGTCGGTGTCTGGATTACCAGGACATGCTCTGAAGCTGTACAGCTTCTGGGAAGAGGGAAGGTGAAGAAGAGACAAGGTGTGGATGGGCAGAAAAGCAAAAAAATGTGGCTTTTGCAGGCGGCGCCTCTGCAGAAGTGGAGCAAAACCAACATGATTCAGCAGATGAAGCTGTAAAATATTCCAACCTTTGAAGTCAAGGCAGTTCAGCCCTGACCATTCATGTATCTCAGAAGTACTAGGAGATAAACGCGGGAAACATTACACAGCTCGGTAAATATGCGTTCATCAGAGTACCCGTAATTGCCATTGTGTTGGGATTTTTGCTTTTATAGAACTACAAACTTGTCTTACAACTGCTAGAAACGCTCTCCCGCTAATTTTGTATTTTTCAAGTTCTTCAGAGATTCTCCATTTTCTCCAAAGACAGAAAATCTATTTTCCTTTCAAACAAAGGAAATCCAGTGTGGAGTCTTTACCTGAGGAAAGAACCTCTCAAAGAAAATGTAACACGGCTGGTAAAACCAGTTGCTCTGAAACACTCTGTATCAGCAAACTGAACAGCTGATAAGAATAATAGAAATTTTTAGTCAATGAGAAAATACTCATCAGGAACCTCATCCTACCAGCACAAAATTTGCTAATATTGCCTGGCCTTGCGTTGCTGCCAGAAGTATGAATTTGTACTGAAATCCCACTGTATGGGAGAAGCACCCCAGCCAAAGTGTAAGAAATTTCACTGCTATAAACAGGGCACATATGGGGTTTATGGAGACATCGGGGTCTGGCTATTGATTTGTGCTTTCCTCTGGGTAATACATGTCCTATAATGCCATGAGATTTATGACCAGGACTTTGAACTCTGGAATAACTTTTAAAAAGAGGGGGCTGTCTATAAAAAGTGTGGTTCGGGTTTTAATCTGTTATAATCTAGTGCCGCAAGAAGACTTCGAGAGTTCATTTATTTGGCCGTGAATACTTTTCACACTGAGACTAGGAGGCCACACTCAAATACCTTCAAAAGTTCATGCCAGGATCAGTGAAATTCAGAGTCACGAATGACCCAGGGAACAATCAATCCTTTGATTATAGGAAGTTCCTATTAAAATAATGGAGCACAGAAAGTGCCTTGCTAAAATGAATGTGAGTCTCCCAAACCTGTACATTTGCGCAAAGTGTTGGCTGAGAAATTTCAGCAATTCCTTTTAAAAAAAAAAAAAACAAACAAAAAAAAAACAAAAAGCAGACAACATTTTGATATCAAGCAGAGTTTTGACAACTGATTTGGATAAATTGAATTTCTCTTTTATCCAGATTTCTTGACCTGTTCTTAATACCAATTTCCCTTGGTGCTTGCTTTCTTGATTATAGTTGAAAGAAATTTATAACAAATCTATCTTCTGTTTTCGCTTCTACGTACCTATAAATTTCTACTACATTTATATATTTGTATCTCCAGACTGAAAAGCAAGATAAACCTGAAGGCAAACTTATCGTACCAGAATAAAACTCTTTACTCCTGGGACTGGCCAAAACAACAATCTATGAAAAATGCAAAACAGCAACAGGTCTTGTTTTTAAACTGTTTCGCAAAATATTTTTGTGCTGAGAACCTGATCACTGAAGATGCTAAAGTGCTGCTGGCTGCCCTGAATGCCTCCCAGTCTCTGACTGGGACTGTCCCAGTTGGTGCTCAGCTTCTTGCAGAAGTGGACCCCTTAAGAGTTTGCATACAACTAACTAAACACTAGTAAGATCCTCTGTTTTAGTTTTCCAACACCTGAATGATTTATGGGCAGAAAGTAGGTCTACTGCAAATTCATAATTGATGCGTCTCTTTTGATACGCAGTCTAACAAATGAAAAAAAATATTTAAAATACAATTGATTTGTTACTTGTTATGGACTGGAAGAAGACTTCCAAAAGACTGTCATGTTTTCTGGCTTGCCCTGAGATACAGTTCTATCTAGAAGATCCGAGATCCAAACCATTCATACCTTCACCTAAACAAAACAAAGCCATCTTCTTCCCTTGGGTCCTGGTGATACACACACCCCAGCCATCCCAGTTATGTGGGACACATTAAACTGTTTTGACTTGGTTACTTCTAAACAAAACCAATGAAATTCAGTTGCTTATAAAAAAATGAGACGGAGGCCCTCTTTTTCTCTCCTCCACATCACTGCTTTAATCCCTGCTATGACCAGGTGGGTGTAGCAATACTGTAGCTCCTCAACCTGATGAAAATAGTGTTGCATTCAGAAATTCGATAAATGAATGGGAGGGACAAGTAATGCTTCCCCCCCCCCCCCCCCCCCCCGATGTTTTGTTAATTAAATTAGCATTTAAATAGCCAGAGCTAATCTGGGAAGTCAGGCCCTCATTACAGTAACTAGGAAGGGGGAAAAGAGCTGCAGACAATGCCCTACAAGATGGGGTTAAGTTGGCGTTTCACAAACTATTTGCCCAGCCTGTCCCTCCCAAGTGAAAGCTGCCACCCACCCCACCCCCCCTTTCCTCCCAGAATAATTAGCATGTTCCAGTGCTGTGAATGGAAACAATATCCTCCCTCCAAGCTGTGCCCCTCCAGGGAGATGCTTCCCACAGATTGTGAAACTCTGAGCCAGGGAAAGGGCTTGCCGAGGAATTCACAGTGGGGTAATTACACTGAGGTAGCTTGTGCCCGGTGCAAGATAAGTTGCATTACTGTAATTCATTGCAGGAGGCAGGGGCTCGCATAAAGGAAATGTCCAGAGGCAAGACTGCAGAGCCATGAGAAGTCATCGCCTTCCCAGAGCCCCGATAAAACCCGACGTTGAAGCTGAGGATGGTTCTTTGGCCTCCGAGGATGTCTCCGTCTTCAGAGAAGTTTGCAGAACGTAGCAACGATCACGTGCGAATCTGGTTTCTCTTTGGCAATTAGAATGGAAGAAAGGTTGAAAGGGTGAGTTTTCAGATTTTAAAATAAATTCTTCATCCCAAGTAGAAAACTGAAGCAAAGCTTGCAAGAATTGGATGCTTTCACTTGTTATTGTCCATGTATATGGCACTTAAAACATGCTGGCCCCTCTTTCTATCAAATGAAAAGCTGGTCTGCAATCCTTTCCCCACAAGATTTACTATTTAATTTTACATATAACAGAGAGACCAATGATAACTAATATCAGAGGAGAAGATGCAGGAGGAAGGGCTGGATTTGGGTGACACCTGCTATCCCCAGCAGTATGCACATCTGGCAGGTTTCATCCCACTTATTTAAATCGTATTCCAGGTGACTCAACAGAAAAAACATCACCCTCCACTTGCGGCTCATCATGCCCAGCTGTAAAGCGGGGATTATATTTACCTCCATTGCAAAGTACTCGGTTTCAGAAGACGTTGGTGCGGTTTGCTGAGGCCCCGGCTGGAAAATACCACAAGAAGTTCAAAGCCCGGTTTCATCCTGTAATTGGATCCTCAAGTCCACAAGTGCAAGAACCAACTGTGCGGGCTGACAGCAGGTCCTCCCCTCTTCCAACAAGAACCCCACCACAACACGGGGCTGTGGGGCTGAGCTGCAAGCGTGGCATACCCAGGAGCTGCTACTTTCTGCTGCTATGCACAAAAAAATGTTGTTTAAAGCTTTTGCCACCCTGTTTGATCTGACCTGCTGTTATTTTTTCTTTCTTTTTTTTTTTTTTAACTCTAAGACATCTTCTTAACTCTCATGCTCACTTGGGATGCTCTTAAAACATGGACTTTAATCCCAGTGTTACTTAAATACCAATTTAATATTTGTTTTCTCTCTGCCTTGACAAGATATTCCTCAGGTCAAGCAGGCATGAAATGATAGATATTGAGTGCAATTCTTCTGGGCAAGAAGAGCTACCTTCTAAGATCTTATCTCAAAACCACTTGGAAATGTGTTCTTTATTTATTTATGCCATAAAATCTCATTCGATGTTGAAGGCCCAAAGGATTACAATTCTGAATTTTGGTTTGCTGTTTTGTTTTCTTTTTTTTTTCCCCCCGTCCTTGCTGAAATCTGGCCTTTCAAAATAACAGAGAGAATCTTTGTTTTGATCTAAAATAGCAGCTGCAAGGGCTTTTAAATGACCATTTAAATGAGATTTCTTTTTTTGCATCTTCGCATTATAGTTTCATTCTCGGTCTCTGAGATCAGTAGCTGCGGTTGAGCAGCCGAGCCGTCTAATGGGAATAAATTGTAATATTGTTCCAACTGTCTCCGATTATTACTGTTGAGCTCTATTAATGAACCGCCTTCATTAAGCAAACTGCAAAGTGTGTTGACGGCGGCGTATCAGAGGTTGCTCTGCGAAGCCAGACCCAGCCATCATCTAACCCCACGGTCTTTACGTTGGGTTACGGTTCGTGATCCTCGGCGTGACGTGATTTCTAACGGACAGAAACCCCACGGACCAGCAGAGCAATGCCGCCTTGCTTTGTGACTCCCAGAGAACATCTTGCGGCGAGGTGAGGTTTTGGGTCGCAGCGGCGATGCTGCGAAGTATGGCAGTATTCCCTCAAAAAGGGCCCGAGGCACAGGCAGCACAGACTGAGGTGGGACAGGGCTGGCCCACAGCCACTCTGGTGATGTGTGGCAGGACCTGGGGTGAGCCTGAGACCCCCCTTCTCTGTCAGCGCGACACAACCCACAAACGCCATTTGGGGCTCGCCCCCTCACGAAACTCGTCTATGCTAGCGGACCACATATCCCAGCATGCAATGCTGTCCCGCCAGGAGACGGGCGCGGAAAGGACTACAACTCCCAGCGGGCATCGCGCCTCGCTGCCCGCCTCCCCGGAGCGGCGGGGTGGGCGGCGCTGCACGCTGGGATCTGTAGTCCAGCCGGACGTCGGTCACACACGGTGCCTCCCTTCCTCCGCCCCCCCCCTCCCCCCGGTTTGACACCCCCTCCCGCCCCGCTCCGCCCTCCTCCCCGCCCCGCCGGTTGTCCCTCCGTAAACGGAAGCCGAGGAGGGACGAAGGAGCCGGGGAGGAGGTTGGAGCAGCGCGATGGGGGACTCCAAAGTGAAGGTGGCGGTGCGCGTCCGCCCCACGAACCGGCGAGGTGAGACTTTCCTCCCTCAGTGACACTCCCCCGCTCCCCGGCGCTGGTGTGAGGGGAGCGGGCCCGAGGGGCAGAGCGGGGCGGGAGGCCGGGGGGTGCCGGTCCTCATGGGTGTCTGTAGGGCAGGTGTGGGTGTCGAGGTGCGCGTGACCCGTCGCGGGGGCGTGTTTATAGGTGTATGTGTCGGGGGGGGGTGGGGGGAAGTGTGTATAGGTATATTTATTTATTAATTAATCTTTATGAAGATCTTAGTTTTGTCATTTAGACGTAAGGTATTTTCACACTCTCTTGTATAGTCAGTTTTTCCCTTATTTGTGCTGGCTTCTATGTAGCAAAGGGCAAAGACAAAAATCACTGTAAGGCAACAAACTTTGGCAGAGGGCTATTCTGCAGAAAATCTGGTGACGAAAAGAAATAGTGAAAGAAGTATACTGAAAATCTGTGAAACTAATGCAGAAAGTGAGGATAGGCAGCAATATATTAAAAAGTATTTCACATTCCCTGGTACTATGAGAAATGCAAATGAAACAGTAGCTATTAGCTTGGCATGTCAAAAAAGGCCAGTTGTAAGGTGCTTACTTAAGAAATGTTGTAGGAGATAGAGTGTGCGGCAAATCGGTTTGCGATGTTACAGCAGGGAGTGAATTCAAAAGCGATTTCAGGCAAGAGGGAGCTGGAACATTTCTGGGGACCAGTAGCACTAACAGTGGCAGAAGCAATGGTGAAGAATTTACAGGATTTCAGCACAGAGCAGGAAAACTAAACAGATTCCGATAAAATGCCAGGGCAGTTTACTGGGAAGGATGTTTCTACTTTAGAGAGCTCATTTTTGCCAGTTTGTAAATTCATAGCGGCCGAGAGTCATGAATGCCTCACAACTGGTGACTGCAGAGCTAGAAAATGGAATGACAACAGCTCAGCAGCCGCTTTAGAGACAGCCAGCGTGGCTTCGCCGAGGGCAAATCGTGCCCGACTAATCCAGCGGCCTTCCATGATGGAGTGACGGCATTAGAGGACGAGGGAAGAGCTACGGATGTCACCTGCCTGGAGGACGTCAGTGAGGCACGGACAGGTTCTGGATAAATGGCTTTTAATGGAAAAACTGAGAACAAAACACGCACTACCAAAGCTACTACATCGTCAACACACCCTCCCCCCTCCCCAAACCCACCCGTTCCCCGCAACAGGCCCAGTCCCACCCCCCGCCCCAGCACTGGCTGCAGGGGCCTTGCGCTTGCCGCCATTTTCTGGCCGGGAGCCATTTTGCCGCTTCTCCGCTCGCTTCTCCGCTCGCTTCTCCCTCGCTTCTCCCTCGCTTCTCCCCTCGCTTCTCCCCTCGCTTCTCCGCTCGCTTCTCCGCTCGCTTCTCCCCTCGCTTCTCCCTCGCTTCTCCCTCGCTTCTCCCGGCTGGTGTCGTGCCGGGACACACTGCCCTGAGGGGGTGGCAGGTCTGTCCCCACGTCCTGCCGTGGATCCTCAGCCCTCATCCTGATGGGAGTTAAGTGCTCCCTGCTCAGGGTGGCTTTGGAGGCCTTGGGGACACGAGTCATTGGGGAGCATCTTCTCGGGCAGCCACAGCGAGCTGATCCTGCGCTGGGGGATGGAGCCACTAGTGCCACCGGTGTCCACGGGCACGGGGACGCTGCTGGAATCGTCCCGGCTGATCCCCCCCTTGCCCCCAGGGAGCAATCCAAGTGCCTCATAGCCTCTTCCAGCAGCACCACCTCAGGCAGCACAACGTCACCGGCTGGAATCACCCCGGGGTCCCTGATGGCTTGGACGTGGAGGGCAGCAGAGTGGCTGGGGGAGATGTTACCACCCAGGGGGGTGCCCTCATCCATGGGGACATCACTCGCCAGGGAGATGTCACATCCTGGGAGGATGTCCTCATCCATGGGGACATCACTCGCCAGGGAGATGTCACATCCTGGGAGGATGTCCTCATCCATGGGGACATCACTCGCCAGGGAGATGTCAACACCTGGGAGGATGTCCTCATCCATGGGACATCACTCGCCAGGGAGATGTCACATCCTGGGAGGATGTCCTCATCCATGGGGACATCACTCGCCAGGGAGATGTCAACACCTGGGAGGATGTCCTCATCCATGGGGACATCACTCGCCAGGGAGGTCAACACCTGGGAGGATGTCCTTAACCATGGGGATATTTTGCCTGGGTGGCTGCCACTGCCTGGGGGTGCCGCCAGCGGTTGGCTCTGCTGGACAGGCCATGGTGCGTGTACTGTCCCTCGACGTGGTGGTGGCTGCGGAGGGACGGTGGCAGCACTGGACGGGCTGAGGCCGCTGCTCTGCCCTGACAGTTGTGGGGCAGGACAGCTCAGCTTGGCTCTGGGGGGCCCATTGCTCTGCCCAGGCCGGGGGGAGCCGCAGCCCGGGGGTCCCCACAGGGCAGCGCCTGGCCGGGAAGCAACGCTGTGGCCGGTGACAAAGGTGGCAGCTGGAGGCAGGTTGGTGCTCGTCCACTCCGAGTGGGAGACATGGGGGTTGAAGCAGCTGCTGCTTGGAGCCATCTGCAGACCTGCAGAGGTGAGAGGGAGATGTGCAGGGGTGAGGACCTGGAGGAATCTCCTGGGGCACCCCCTGAGCCAGCCCTGAGCACAGACATCCCCCTGCTCTGTGCCGGGTGAGTGGGGAGCTTGTGGCAGGGACGATTGTCCATGTGGTGGTGAAATGGGAGAGATGGCTCCAAGAGATTGGGGAATTATCTATAAATTATATTTACTGGGCAGGTTGATCCTGACAGAGAGACATGAGCACTCACTGGTGATCACATCCCAAGCCGGGACAGGAGGGCGCATGAGGGGACTGAGAAGGAGAAGGAGAGGCGCAACGGAGAAAGGGCTCTGAATTTCCCCAGAGCGAGTCCCGGGGCTGTCGGGGTCAGGGTTAGTCCTCACCTCTGGTGTAGAAGGTTTTGGGGAAGAGGAATGGCTGCAGTAGCTGGGCCATCGGAGGAGCCCCAGGGCCGCACAGTGTGTGCTGCAGAGCTGGCAGTGCCATGGTCACTTCTGTCCTGTGGATTCTGTTTGAGTGTTGCCTGGCAAGGAATGTTGGGGCTCCCCGTGTTCTGTCCCGCCCCCAGTAGCTTTGACTGCTCTTCATGCAGAGGGAAAGGGTTAACAAAAGAGTTGAGTTAAGAGTTATGGTCAATGGCTCAATGTCCAGGGGGAAACCAGTAAGGAGTGGTGTCCCTAAAGGGTTTGTACTGGGACCAGTACTATTTCATGTCTTCACCAATGACATAGACAGTGGGATTGAGTGCACCCTCATCAAATTAGTGAATGACACCAAACTGAGTGGTGCAGTTGCCTCACCTGAGGGAAGGCATGCCTTCCAGAGGGACCTGGACAAGCTTAAGAAGTGGGCCCATGTGAACCTCTTGGAGATCAACAAGGCCAAATGCAAGGTCCTGCACATGGGTCAGGGCAATCCCCAGTAACAATACAGGCTGGGGATGAGTGGATTGAGAGCAGCCCCACAGAGAAGGACTTGGGAGTACTGGTGGATGAAAAGCTGGACATGACCCGGCAATGTCTGCTCGCAGCCCAGAAGCCACCCGTGTTCTGGGCTGCAGCCAGAGCAGGGGGGGCAGCAGGGCCAGGGAGGGTTCTCCCCCTCTGCTGCGCTCTGGGGAGACCCCCCTGCAGTGCTGGGGCCAGCCTGGGGCCCCTGACATCAGAAGGACACTGACCTGCTTGAGCAGGGCCAGAGGAGGCCACAGAAATAATCAGAGGGATTAAACACCTTTCCCATGATGAAAGGTTTGGGGTGGTTCAGCCTGGAGAAGGGAAAGCTCTTGGGGAGACCTTATTGCCGCCTTTCAGTACTTAAAGGGGGCTTATAAGAAAGATGCAGAGAGACATTTTAATAGGGTCTGTTGCAAGAGGACAAGGAGCAACAGTTTTAAACTGAAAGGGGGTAGATTTCGATTAGATGTAAGGAAGAAATTCTTTACTGTGAGGGCAGTGAGGCGCTGGCACAAGTTGCCCAGAGCAGCTGTGGCTGCCCCCTCCCTGGAAGGGTTCAAGGCCAGGTTGGACGGGGCTGGGCCCCCTGGGCTGGGGGAAGGGGGCCCTGCCCGGGGCAGGGGGGTTGGGACTGGGTGATCTCTGAGGTCCCTTCCAACCCAAACCACTCTATGATTGAATGACATTTTTGTTCTGGAGCAACTTTCTGCAGACGTAATTTTTTGATCCCGCATGTGATGAATATTAGGAGCAACAGTGTGGCTGTGAAGCTGACTGTGGAAGAGCCTCTTAAGAGACATCTCCTCAAGGCAAGCGGGAGGCCGTATGCTGTACAATGCAGCTCTGGGCAAGAGGATGTCTCTGCAAAGAGATGGGCCTTTGAGCTGAGGGGTGTTGGAAGAGGTGGCTTGGTATTTCTGGCAGCTACACACTGCTCCTTGCTTCTCTGGTTGCGATGGCCTTGTGCTGTGCAACAAGCTCTCCTTCATGCTCTTCACTCGTAATAACGTGGTTCTTTGCCTTTCTGAAAACTCAGAAAACTTACCGGCACAAACCCGATGCTCCTTCCCATCCCAGTTATTCGCAATCGGGAGAGGTATTCCCAAATTTTAAGAGAAATATTTTTGTGTTTTCTTAGTTTTGCAGGCATCCATGAGTGAAGGACCAGAGTACCTCAATCTGTCCCTTCAACAATCCTTCCCCGCTCCATGTTTTCAATTGGAAACCGCACCAGTGAGCTCCTAAATCCAGGTATCATGTACACCAGTGAAGTGGAGGTCTGGAAGCAGAGACAGAAGCAAGGTCTAAGTATCAGAGCTGGGCTTCATTTTCCCAGTAAGCAGACCCAGACCTCAGCTTGAGTTCCCTCTTTATAACACATTGAGATATGGATAGGTACCTTAGGGAACATCTAATGTCAATGCTCACCCATACAGAAATACCACGGGGACTTTTGATTTAGGAGCCAAACTGGTTTGTTTGTTCAATGGGCACGTTTCCAGCAGAGGCCCATGACACCAGCTTTTAGCAGTACACTCCCAACACTTGACATTTATTAAAGCCACAGCTCAGTGAGTGAGGTAATTACCTGGGCATTTCCATTTTCATTTCTAGTAAGTCCAAATTAAAGTCCAAATAAAGTACATTTTTAGCCCTTCGGCAAAGATTACTCCTTTTTTTTTTTTTGAACACTTTCCTTCAGGTAGTTAACCATTCATAATACCCATCAATAACCGCTTAGCTGAAGGTATTAGGGTTTAGGGTTACGTAGACAGTAGTAGTCAAAATGCTGTTTCATTCTTTTTGTCACATAATCTTTACTGTATGATAAGCACTACGTAGTAGGCACAAAGCAAAAAGGAGGCCCCCGGTATTTACTTCTCTCTGATAACCCGTGCTAATGAGTTTGCTGCCATTTTAGCTGAAATATGGATAAAAGAAATCCCATCTCGTGTCCTAACGAGCGCAAGCCCTGAGCGTAGACAAACCCTGGGAAGGGCCACATAAGGTTGTGGCAAGATCAGTGGAAATCCTCTGCCCAAATTCAGGGTGCCAGGACCACATCTGTGTCTCCATGCTTGGCTGCAGCATTTTAGGAGCCATGGGAGAGTTGCCAGCACCCCTTTGCTCTCCCACTTTCACCCCAAAGGAGCTGGTCCAGGGGAATGGGTGCCACCAGGCAATGGGTGCTCATGCTGCGAGGGCGGGTAGAAGTCCTTGCTTGTCCCCAGCTCTTTCCTTAAAAGCAGCAGGGGAAAATCAATAAATAAGGAAGGACAGGAAAGGGGACCATTACAATTAGACCTGATTTTATTTTGCTCCGTAGCCACCGGGCGTCACTCTTGCCTATAGAGTCAGAAAGGAATTTTTGGTCGTCGCTGATAAAATCCCATTTCATCCATAAATTCTACAGCTCCCGGCACTGACAGCAGCATCCCCATTTATCAAAATTTCCCAAGTTTCAACATCAAATTACCAACTCGTTAAATCTGGGGGTATCTGGAGCTGGCAATTTAGCCTGCGGTGTTATTTGCTAAACATAGGCAAAACACATTAGGGTTTTTTTATTATTATTATTATTATTATTATTAGTGTAAATGCAGCTGGATAATTTAGATCTGGGTTTGGATTAGGATCTTGGCCAGTGTCTGTCGGTGTCTGGATTACCAGGACATGCTCTGAAGCTGTACAGCTTCTGGGGAAGAGGGAAGGTGAAGAAGAGACAAGGTGTGGATGGGCAGAAAAGCAAAAAATGTGGCTTTTGCAGGCGGCGCCTCTGCAGAAGTGGAGCAAAACCAACATGATTCAGCAGATGAAGCTGTAAAATATTCCAACCTTTGAAGTCAAGGCAGTTCAGCCCTGACCATTCATGTATCTCAGAAGTACTAGGAGATAAACGCGGGAAACATTACACAGCTCGGTAAATATGCGTTCATCAGAGTACCCGTAATTGCCATTGTGTTGGGATTTTTGCTTTTATAGAACTACAAACTTGTCTTACAACTGCTAGAAACGCTCTCCCGCTAATTTTGTATTTTTCAAGTTCTTCAGAGATTCTCCATTTTCTCCAAAGACAGAAAATCTATTTTCCTTTCAAACAAAGGAAATCCAGTGTGGAGTCTTTACCTGAGGAAAGAACCTCTCAAAGAAAATGTAACACGGCTGGTAAAACCAGTTGCTCTGAAACACTCTGTATCAGCAAACTGAACAGCTGATAAGAATAATAGAAATTTTTAGTCAATGAGAAAATACTCATCAGGAACCTCATCCTACCAGCACAAAATTTGCTAATATTGCCTGGCCTTGCGTTGCTGCCAGAAGTATGAATTTGTACTGAAATCCCACTGTATGGGAGAAGCACCCCAGCCAAAGTGTAAGAAATTTCACTGCTATAAACAGGGCACATATGGGGTTTATGGAGACATCGGGGTCTGGCTATTGATTTGTGCTTTCCTCTGGGTAATACATGTCCTATAATGCCATGAGATTTATGACCAGGACTTTGAACTCTGGAATAACTTTTAAAAAGAGGGGGCTGTCTATAAAAGTGTGGTTCGGGTTTTAATCTGTTATAATCTAGTGCCGCAAGAAGACTTCGAGAGTTCATTTATTTGGCCGTGAATACTTTTCACACTGAGACTAGGAGGCCACACTCAAATACCTTCAAAAGTTCATGCCAGGATCAGTGAAATTCAGAGTCACGAATGACCCAGGGAACAATCAATCCTTTGATTATAGGAAGTTCCTATTAAAATAATGGAGCATGCAGAAGCCTTGCTAAAATGAATGTGAGTCTCCCAAACCTGTACATTTGCGCAAAGTGTTGGCTGAGAAATTTCAGCAATTCCTTTTAAAAAAAAAAAAAAAACAAAAAAAAAAAAACAAAAAGCAGACAACATTTTGATATCAAGCAGAGTTTTGACAACTGATTTGGATAAATTGAATTTCTCTTTTATCCAGATTTCTTGACCTGTTCTTAATACCAATTTCCCTTGGTGCTTGCTTTCTTGATTATAGTTGAAAGAAATTTATAACAAATCTATCTTCTGTTTTCGCTTCTACGTACCTATAAATTTCTACTACATTTATATATTTGTATCTCCAGACTGAAAAGCAAGATAAACCTGAAGGCAAACTTATCGTACCAGAATAAAACTCTTTACTCCTGGGACTGGCCAAACAACAATCTATGAAAAATGCAAAACAGCAACAGGTCTTGTTTTTAAACTGTTTCGCAAAATATTTTTGTGCTGAGAACCTGATCACTGAAGATGCTAAAGTGCTGCTGGCTGCCCTGAATGCCTCCCAGTCTCTGACTGGGACTGTCCCAGTTGGTGCTCAGCTTCTTGCAGAAGTGGACCCCTTAAGAGTTTGCATACAACTAACTAAACACTAGTAAGATCCTCTGTTTTAGTTTTCCAACACCTGAATGATTTATGGGCAGAAAGTAGGTCTACTGCAAATTCATAATTGATGCGTCTCTTTTGATACGCAGTCTAACAAATGAAAAAAAATATTTAAAATACAATTGATTTGTTACTTGTTATGGACTGGAAGAAGACTTCCAAAAGACTGTCATGTTTTCTGGCTTGCCCTGAGATACAGTTCTATCTAGAAGATCCGAGATCCAAACCATTCATACCTTCACCTAAACAAAAACAAAAGCCATCTTCTTCCCTTGGGTCCTGGTGATACACACACCCCAGCCATCCCAGTTATGTGGGACACATTAAACTGTTTTGACTTGGTTACTTCTAAACAAAACCAATGAAATTCAGTTGCTTATAAAAAATGAGACGGAGGCCCTCTTTTTCTCTCCTCCACATCACTGCTTTAATCCCTGCTATGACCAGGTGGGTGTAGCAATACTGTAGCTCCTCAACCTGATGAAAATAGTGTTGCATTCAGAAATTCGATAAATGAATGGGAGGGACAAGTAATGCTTCCCCCCCCCCCCCCCCCCCCCCCGATGTTTTGTTAATTAAATTAGCATTTAAATAGCCAGAGCTAATCTGGGAAGTCAGGCCCTCATTACAGTAACTAGGAAGGGGGAAAAGAGCTGCAGACAATTCCCTACAAGATGGGGTTAAGTTGGCGTTTCACAAACTATTTGCCCAGCCTGTCCCTCCCAAGTGAAAGCTGCCACCCCCCCCACCCCCCCTTTCCTCCCAGAATAATTAGCATGTTCCAGTGCTGTGAATGGAAACAATATCCTCCCTCCAAGCTGTGCCCCTCCAGGGAGATGCTTCCCACAGATTGTGAAACTCTGAGCCAGGGAAAGGGCTTGCCGAGGAATTCACAGTGGGGTAATTACACTGAGGTAGCTTGTGCCCGGTGCAAGATAAGTTGCATTACTGTAATTCATTGCAGGAGGCAGGGGCTCGCATAAAGGAAATGTCCAGAGGCAAGACTGCAGAGCCATGAGAAGTCATCGCCTTCCCAGAGCCCCGATAAAACCCGACGTTGAAGCTGAGGATGGTTCTTTGGCCTCCGAGGATGTCTCCGTCTTCAGAGAAGTTTGCAGAACGTAGCAACGATCACGTGCGAATCTGGTTTCTCTTTGGCAATTAGAATGGAAGAAAGGTTGAAAGGGTGAGTTTTCAGATTTTAAAATAAATTCTTCATCCCAAGTAGAAAACTGAAGCAAAGCTTGCAAGAATTGGATGCTTTCACTTGTTATTGTCCATGTATATGGCACTTAAAACATGCTGGCCCCTCTTTCTATCAAATGAAAAGCTGGTCTGCAATCCTTTCCCCACAAGATTTACTATTTAATTTTACATATAACAGAGAGACCAATGATAACTAATATCAGAGGAGAAGATGCAGGAGGAAGGGCTGGATTTGGGTGACACCTGCTATCCCCAGCAGTATGCACATCTGGCAGGTTTCATCCCACTTATTTAAATCGTATTCCAGGTGACTCAACAGAAAAAACATCACCCTCCACTTGCGGCTCATCATGCCCAGCTGTAAAGCGGGGATTATATTTACCTCCATTGCAAAGTACTCGGTTTCAGAAGACGTTGGTGCGGTTTGCTGAGGCCCCGGCTGGAAAATACCACAAGAAGTTCAAAGCCCGGTTTCATCCTGTAATTGGATCCTCAAGTCCACAAGTGCAAGAACCAACTGTGCGGGCTGACAGCAGGTCCTCCCCTCTTCCAACAAGAACCCCACCACAACACGGGGCTGTGGGGCTGAGCTGCAAGCGTGGCATACCCAGGAGCTGCTACTTTCTGCTGCTATGCACAAAAAAATGTTGTTTAAAGCTTTTGCCACCCTGTTTGATCTGACCTGCTGTTATTTTTTCTTTCTTTTTTTTTTTTTTTAACTCTAAGACATCTTCTTAACTCTCATGCTCACTTGGGATGCTCTTAAGAACATGGACTTTAATCCCAGTGTTACTTAAATACCAATTTAATATTTGTTTTCTCTCTGCCTTGACAAGATATTCCTCAGGTCAAGCAGGCATGAAATGATAGATATTGAGTGCAATTCTTCTGGGCAAGAAGAGCTACCTTCTAAGATCTTATCTCAAAACCACTTGGAAATGTGTTCTTTATTTATTTATGCCATAAAATCTCATTCGATGTTGAAGGCCCAAAGGATTACAATTCTGAATTGTTGGTTTGCTGTTTTGTTTTCTTTTTTTTTTTCCCCCCGTCCTTGCTGAAATCTGGCCTTTCAAAATAACACAGAGAGAATCTTTGTTTTGATCTAAAATAGCAGCTGCAAGGGCTTTTAAATGACCATTTAAATGAGATTTCTTTTTTTGCATCTTCGCATTATAGTTTCATTCTCGGTCTCTGAGATCAGTAGCTGCGGTTGAGCAGCCGAGCCGTCTAATGGGAATAAATTGTAATATTGTTCCAACTGTCTCCGATTATTACTGTTGAGCTCTATTAATGAACCGCCTTCATTAAGCAAACTGCAAAGTGTGTTGACGGCGGCGTATCAGAGGTTGCTCTGCGAAGCCAGACCCAGCCATCATCTAACCCCACGGTCTTTACGTTGGGTTACGGTTCGTGATCCTCGGCGTGACGTGATTTCTAACGGACAGAAACCCCACGGACCAGCAGAGCAATGCCGCCTTGCTTTGTGACTCCCAGAGAACATCTTGCGGCGAGGTGAGGTTTTGGGTCGCAGCGGCGATGCTGCGAAGTATGGCAGTATTCCCTCAAAAAGGGCCCGAGGCACAGGCAGCACAGACTGAGGTGGGACAGGGCTGGCCCACAGCCACTCTGGTGATGTGTGGCAGGACCTGGGGTGAGCCTGAGACCCCCCTTCTCTGTCAGCGCGACACAACCCACAAACGCCATTTGGGGCTCGCCCCCTCACGAAACTCGTCTATGCTAGCGGACCACATATCCCAGCATGCAATGCTGTCCCGCCAGGAGACGGGCGCGGAAAGGACTACAACTCCCAGCGGGCATCGCGCCTCGCTGCCCGCCTCCCCGGAGCGGCGGGGTGGGCGGCGCTGCACGCTGGGATCTGTAGTCCAGCCGGACGTCGGTCACACACGGTGCCTCCCTTCCTCCGCCCCCCCCTCCCCCCGGTTTGACACCCCCTCCCGCCCCGCTCCGCCCTCCTCCCCGCCCCGCCGGTTGTCCCTCCGTAAACGGAAGCCGAGGAGGGACGAAGGAGCCGGGGAGGAGGTTGGAGCAGCGCGATGGGGGACTCCAAAGTGAAGGTGGCGGTGCGCGTCCGCCCCACGAACCGGCGAGGTGAGACTTTCCTCCCTCAGTGACACTCCCCCGCTCCCCGGCGCTGGTGTGAGGGGAGCGGGCCCGAGGGGCAGAGCGGGGCGGGAGGCCGGGGGGTGCCGGTCCTCATGGGTGTCTGTAGGGGCAGGTGTGGGTGTCGAGGTGCGCGTGACCCGTCGCGGGGGCGTGTTTATAGGTGTATGTGTCGGGGGGGGGTGGGGGGGAAGTGTGTATAGGTATATTTATTTATTAATTAATCTTTATGAAGATCTTAGTTTTGTCATTTAGACGTAAGGTATTTTCACACTCTCTTGTATAGTCAGTTTTTCCCTTATTTGTGCTGGCTTCTATGTAGCAAAGGGCAAAGACAAAAATCACTGTAAGGCAACAAACTTTGGCAGAGGGCTATTCTGCAGAAAATCTGGTGACGAAAAGAAATAGTGAAAGAAGTATACTGAAAATCTGTGAAACTAATGCAGAAAGTGAGGATAGGCAGCAATATATTAAAAATAGTATTTCACATTCCCTGGTACTATGAGAAATGCAAAATGAAACAGTAGCTATTAGCTTGGCATGTCAAAAAAGGCCAGTTGTAAGGTGCTTACTTAAGAAATGTTGTAGGAGATAGAGTGTGCGGCAAATCGGTTTGCGATGTTACAGCAGGGAGTGAATTCAAAAGCGATTTCAGGCAAGAGGGAGCTGGAACATTTCTGGGGACCAGTAGCACTAACAGTGGCAGAAGCAATGGTGAAGAATTTACAGGATTTCAGCACAGAGCAGGAAAACTAAAACAGATTCCGATAAAATGCCAGGGCAGTTTACTGGGAAGGATGTTTCTACTTTAGAGAGCTCATTTTTGCCAGTTTGTAAATTCATAGCGGCCGAGAGTCATGAATGCCTCACAACTGGTGACTGCAGAGCTAGAAAATGGAATGACAACAGCTCAGCAGCCGCTTTAGAGACAGCCAGCGTGGCTTCGCCGAGGGCAAATCGTGCCCGACTAATCCAGCGGCCTTCCATGATGGAGTGACGGCATTAGAGGACGAGGGAAGAGCTACGGATGTCACCTGCCTGGAGGACGTCAGTGAGGCACGGACAGGTTCTGGATAAATGGCTTTTAATGGAAAAACTGAGAACAAAACACGCACTACCAAAGCTACTACATCGTCAACACACCCTCCCCCCCCCCAAACCCACCCGTTCCCCGCAACAGGCCCAGTCCCACCCCCCGCCCCAGCACTGGCTGCAGGGGCCTTGCGCTTGCCGCCATTTTCTGGCCGGGAGCCATTTTGCCGCTTCTTCTCCGCTCGCTTCTCTCCCCTCGCTTCTCCGCTCGCTTCTCCCTCGCTTCTCCGCTCGCTTCTCCCCTCGCTTCTCCTCTCGCTCTTCTCCCCTCGCTTCTCCCGGCTGGTGTCGTGCCGGGACACACTGCCCTGAGGGGGTGGCAGGTCTGTCCCCACGTCCTGCCGTGGATCCTCAGCCCTCATCCTGATGGGAGTTAAGTGCTCCCTGCTCAGGGTGGCTTTGGAGGCCTTGGGGACACGAGTCATTGGGGAGCATCTTCTCGGGCAGCCACAGCGAGCTGATCCTGCGCTGGGGGATGGAGCCACTAGTGCCACCGGTGTCCACGGGCACGGGGACGCTGCTGGAATCGTCCCGGCTGATCCCCCCCTTGCCCCCAGGGAGCAATCCAAGTGCCTCATAGCCTCTTCCAGCAGCACCACCTCAGGCAGCACAACGTCACCGGCTGGAATCACCCCGGGGTCCCTGATGGCTTGGACGTGGAGGGCAGCAGAGTGGCTGGGGGAGATGTTACCACCCAGGGGGGTGCCCTCATCCATGGGACATCACTCGCCAGGGAGATGTCACATCCTGGGAGGATGTCCTCATCCATGGGGACATCACTCGCCAGGGAGATGTCACATCCTGGGAGGATGTCCTCATCCATGGGGACATCACTCGCCAGGGAGATGTCAACACCTGGGAGGATGTCCTCATCCATGGGGACATCACTCGCCAGGGAGATGTCACATCCTGGAGGATGTCCTCATCCATGGGGACATCACTCGCCAGGGAGATGTCAACACCTGGGAGGATGTCCTCATCCATGGGGACATCACTCGCCAGGGAGATGTCAACACCTGGGAGGATGTCCTTAACCATGGGGATATTGTTGCCTGGGTGGCTGCCACTGCCTGGGGGTGCCGCCAGCGGTTGGCTCTGCTGGACAGGCCATGGTGCGTGTACTGTCCCTCGACGTGGTGGTGGCTGCGGAGGGACGGTGGCAGCACTGGACGGGCGGCTGAGGCGCTGCTCTGCCCTGACAGTTGTGGGGCAGGACAGCTCAGCTTGGCTCTGGGGGGCCCATTGCTCTGCCCAGGCCGGGGGGAGCCGCAGCCCGGGGGTCCCCACAGGCAGCGCCTGGCGGAAGCAACGCTGTGGCCGGTGACAAAGGTGGCAGCTGGAGGCAGGTTGTGCTCGTCCACTCCGAGTGGGAGACATGGGGGTTGAAGCAGCTGCTGCTTGGAGCCATCTGCAGACCTGCAGAGGTGAGAGGGAGATGTGCAGGGGTGAGGACCTGGAGGAATCTCCTGGGGCACCCCCTGAGCCAGCCCTGAGCACAGACATCCCCCTGCTCTGTGCCGGGTGAGTGGGGAGCTTGTGGCAGGGACGATTGTCCATGTGGTGGTGAAATGGGAGAGATGGCTCCAAGATTGGGGAATTATCTATAAATTATATTTACTGGGCAGGTTGATCCTGACGAGAGACATGAGCACTCACTGGTGATCACATCCCAAGCCGGGACGGAGGGCGCATGAGGGGACTGAGAAGGAGAAGGGAGAGGCGCAACGGAGAAAGGGCTCTGAATTTCCCCAGAGCGAGTCCCGGGGCTGTCGGGTCAGGGTTAGTCTCACTCTCTGGTGTAGAAGGTTTTGGGGAAGAGGAATGGCTGCAGTAGCTGGCCCATCGGAGGAGCCCCAGGGCCGCACAGTGTGTGCTGCAGAGCTGGCAGTGCCATGGTCACTTCTGTCCTGTGGATTCTGTTTGAGTGTTGCCTGGCAAGGAATGTTGGGGCTCCCCGTGTTCTGTCCCGCCCCCAGTAGCTTTGACTGCTCTTCATGCAGAGGGAAAGGTTAACAAAAGAGTTGAGTTAAGAGTTATGGTCAATGGCTCAATGTCCAGGGGAGAACCAGTAAGGAGTGGTGTCCTAAAGTGGTTTGTACTGGACGTCTAGTACTATTTCATGTCTTCACCAATGACATAGACAGTGGGATTGAGTGCACCCTCATCAAATTAGTGAATGACAACCAAATGAGTGGTGCAGTTGCCTCACCTGAGGGAAGGCATGCCTTCCAGAGGGACCTGGACAAGCTTAAGAATGGGCCCATGTGAACCTCTTGGAGATCAACAAGGCCAAATGCAAGGTCCTGCACATGGGTCAGGGCAATCCCCAGTAACATACAGGCTGGGGATGAGTGGATTGAGAGCAGCCCACAGAGAAGGACTTGGGAGTACTGGTGGATGAAAAGCTGGACATGACCCGGCAATGTCTGCTCGCAGCCCAGAAAAGCCACCCGTGTTCTGGGCTGCAGCCAAGCAGGGGGGGGCAGGGGCCAGGGAGGGATTCTCCCCCTCTGCTGCGCTCTGGGGAGACCCCCCTGCAGTGCTGGGCCAGCCTGGGGCCCCTGACATCAGAAGGACACTGACCTGCTTGAGCAGGGCCAGAGGAGGCCACAGAAATAATCAGAGGGATTAAACACCTTTCCCATGATGAAAGGTTTGGGGTGGTTCAGCCTGGAGAAGGGAAAGCTCTTGGGGAGACCTTATTGCCGCCTTTCAGTACTTAAAGGGGGCTTATAAGAAAGATGCAGAGAGACATTTTAATAGGGTCTGTTGCAAGAGGACAAGGAGCAACAGTTTTAAACTGAAAGGGGGTAGATTTCGATTAGATGTAAGGAAGAAATTCTTTACTGTGAGGGCAGTGAGGCGCTGGCACAAGTTGCCCAGAGCAGCTGTGGCTGCCCCCTCCCTGGAAGGGTTCAAGGCCAGGTTGGACGGGGCTGGGAGCCCCCTGGGCTGGGGGAAGGGGGCCCTGCCCGGGGCAGGGGGGTTGGGACTGGGTGATCTCTGAGGTCCCTTCCAACCCAAACCACTCTATGATTGAATGAC